AGCTAAGAAAATAGAATACATCCTCAAAATCGATGATGAAACATTCTATGTAAAAAGTGAAGAGAATGTTGAATACTATACTGTTGATAGTATGAATAGTACCTGTACTTGTCCGATTGGTAGTAGCGGTCGATTTTGCGTAAGCACATGTGTGCGGTTGAAGAAAGATTTGGTGTAATGTTCAAATCGTCCTTATTACTGAACGAAACAGATCGGCAAGAGCTAGCGCAGCTAGCACCATGGAGTAAAATTTCTCCTACATTTTTCAAAGAAATGACCGAGCCTAAACAGTATGAGGAATGCACATTGAATGAGAACCTATCTGAACCTATTCACAATTCCGTGAATAATTCTATTTTCCCTTCGTTTTCCAAAAGCAGTATTGATCCTGAAGCGAAAGTCGAGTATGTCAATAATATTAATAGAATAAATGATGAATTTGGTCGTATCACTCAAGTTCTTGAGAATGATATAAATATCAGTGATATGACTAAAATTTCGAGTTTTGTCAAGGTACTAGGAAATTTGGAAACTCCTACTCATATAATGACATTAGTTTGTGATAAAATAAAACAACGACGATCTCTTCAGATCAAAGTACAACCTACTGCCATATCTCGAAGAGAAAATAGGAACATTACTGGTGGAAGAATACAATCTGGTCGACCGAGTAATATATAGAGAGGAAATCCAAAAAACGTCAACATAATATATCATTGAATATTGAGTTGAATATACCACCAACAAAAAAACATTGATTGCATTCATTTATGAAGAATTTTATGATTGGATTAATGAATAATGAGTTGATGTAATGAATTTCCCTTTGTGAGTCATTATCACATAATAAATTTCATATGAATTGTGTTTTATTCTTTCGTGATTGGAAAATGAAAATATCTCCCTCCAAATAGACGGAATGAAAAAGGGTTAATTTGTATATACGGCGTTTGAAGATAATGAAAAAGCGTCACTGTTACGTCCCTCAGCGATGAGCAACTGAATACGGTATTCCGGCACATCCAAGCTCTGGAAACACGTCTTGGTTTCAGCACTGGCGCTGAGACCTATTGAGTACGCTTTTTAAAATACGCCAGCTGGATAGAGGGTTCCTTGTTTGGTACACCGATGGTTCGAAAATGGAAGAAGGGGTAGGCGCGGGTGTATATGGACCCGGATGTAGGCTATTTGAAGCCTCAGGTCACTCCCCCACTATCTTCCAAGCTGAAATACATGCCATCAACCTTTGCGCCCAGATGTGCCTGAGCAAAGGTCTGAGGGGTGCAAACATATATATCTGCTCAGACAGCCAAGCCGCACTGAAAGCCCTAAAATCATTCTTTTTCACATCAAAGATTACATGCGACTGCTTTGAAACACTCATGCACCTGGGAAAGGACAACAAAGTCACACTTATGTGGGTTCCAGGGCATGAAGGAATCAAAGGAAATGAGGCAGCTGATCGCTTCGCAAAAAAAGGTGCAGCATCTGCACTTTTTGGTCCTGAGCCTTTTTGTGGGATAAGCAAATGTCACCTAAAGGAAGAACTCAGGAAATGTAAAGAAATTGAAAATTCCTCCTACTGGAGAGCAACTCCAGGTCAACGACAAGCGAAAAGGTTCATCAACCATTCGCAGAACCAAGCCTCAGCAAACCAGAGCTAAAGCTTATCACAGGCTTTCTCACAGGACACGGCTCTCTGAGGTACCACCTCAAAAAGATGGGCCTGGCGGAGACTGACACTTGCCGCTTTTGTAACAATGCGACCAAAACCGCGGAACACATAAAGGTGGAAAATTCAACCGTCAGGAAAATTGTAGTCTAGGGTTAGAGGACCAAAACTAGGTCGCAGTGATCAAGAGGTCTCCTAGCCTATACGACCCATCTACAATCTACATCTACATTTCAAAGCTTCCTCACGTTCAGTGATGTCATGTCAAGAAGATGTCAGTACAAATTTGAAAATGAAATTTCGAACATATAAATGATTTCGTATAAAATCTTTGTGAGAAAAGCCCGAATACAAATATGTGACGAACGGATGTGGAAATACATCATGAAAAAGCAAAAATATCATTTCATAAGTTCTCAATCAATAATCACGAAAGGAATGATTTGATAAAAAGTATTGGGCAAGGGTTTGAATGAGATCACGCCGTACGAGCAGTTTTAGCCATTTTATGGTTAATTCTATCGATTTTTTAACTCATCCATGTACTAAAAATTTCATCTAGCCAGTTAGCCATTTCTTCTAGCTGATTTTTATTCTGCCTTGCTATAAAAATATTTTCATATTCATAATATTCCTATAGATAATTCATTAAGGTGGGAACAGACCAAGCAAACATTGTTGTGCAACAGTGGAACAACACTCGAGAAACACACAAGTTTACACAGTGTGTACGTATTGCGCAGCAGTTGCACAACAGTTGTGCAGCTGTTGCAAAACTAATGGTCGGTGTTCGCTCCCGAGGCGGTACTTCAAAGGAGATGTTGCCTAACAGTTCGCACACAGCGTCTGCAGTGTAGACGCATCTTCTTCGTCGCTCATGGTGCCTGACTGAACGGACACTGGACAAACACCGGAAAAAGCAGGTTGGTCGATGTTGCCCAACAGTTTGTTGAAAACGGTTTCTCCCCACGGAAGCAAGTTAGCCAACAGTTGCCTACCTGTTGTTCAACTGTTGCATAACAATGTTTGCTTGGTCTGTTTCCACCTTTATATTCACGATTTGATACAACACAACTCCGAACCAGTCTATGTTTCTATGGATTTTGTACTTCATTCTTTGTGCCATTTTGACAAATTGACTTTGAAGTCAATGACGTCAACACATCACGTCATACGTCAATATCAATACTACTAGAGTCTTTACTTAATTTTCAATGTCAGATTCGTAGTCCACATGGACAGATTTCTTATTTTTGCCAGGAAGATTGCAAAAATGGCTGAATTTGCTGAAAAATGACTGAAAAAATTGTCGTCTACGGCGCGCTTTCATTTTTACCCATATTTGAGCCTTCCTTCGACGATCGTCTAGTCGTTTTTTGAATTTGCTGTTGGCAACACTGCGTACGAACACCGAAAAAATTGCAGTATTGGTTCTGGTCTAGGCAAGCCAGTCGACTGTTCAAGACCACTTCACAATTTGTCTATAAAAAATTCTCGAATGTGTCATTCGAGAATGAGAACTCACGATTTTGATCGACAATATAGAAATCTCGCAAACGACAAAATATCTCACCGTTTGAGAATAGGGTCCCGAACGGTTGAAAACTGTGAAGGGTCCACTACATTATTTACCTAGTGTCCTGGAGAACAAAATCTGGAATATCGAGATTCTCATCAGCAAGGTGTAAATACAGTTGTATTTTTTTATACACATGTGATAATTATTCTATTTTTAGACAATCATATTGCAAACAACGAAACGAAAATTGAATGTAGGTATTCTGTTAGATGTTTCGGAATCTGGTGTGAATGGACCCTTGCGAGAATTTCAATTCAATGGAGGTGGATTAAACAAACTCCATACAAAATCTCCATTTCAATATGTATTTCAGATATGATATGGTAGGAGAACAAAGACACACTACGTTTGATTTTTTTTCCTGAGTACTTCAGAATAATCGGGTTATACATCGATAACCCCTTGCATCAATCAAAAAAGTGCATCTCGGCTATTTATTTAACTCGGCACAAGATACAAGAATTGAAGATTGTTCTATTAGGATAAAAAGTTACACTTTGTTTGACAAGCGGATTTCGGATTTGCGAGGCGGAGCGTCCAGCGAAGCCGAGCGGAAGCAAAATTTGCTAGTCAAACGGAATCACTTTTGATCCGAATGAAACATGCTATTTTTTCTGAAAAAAATCGAAAAATCAATTTGTGAAGTAACCACCAATATAACTTGACAGATTAATATGATACCTTCATCATAATAATATAGGTAAGAAGATAGGAGTATTACCGCAGACTACTCTACTACGTTACAATTTGTGTTGACATGTATCATCAGATAATACAGGCACGATTTCAATATTATACTCGAAACGTGGATGCCGTGCCATATGTATGTAATGCAACCAATAATCCGTGTGGTGAGAATATTCCACGTGCATTTACAGATCAGGTTCATTCAATTTTCAAGGATGTTCGAATTGTAGTTCCAATTCAAATACAATCACAGAGTGACCCATTTGTGTATTCTATTGGATCCATGAATCGATGATTTCATTTGGACCATCAGGTGTCAGCCCTAATAGCAAATACCGCGCCAGTGCCAGGTATAGGAAAAAGAAGTGGAAAATGTCCTTTCACTTCATATTCCACTGGCTGGGTGATCAAATGAAGGTAATTAATATCGTTGTGTGAGGCAAAGAAGTATTGCTTGTTGTGATTATTCCAAAGCAAGTTATCCAATCAAGCACATCCCGAGAATGAATAAAATACAGATAAAGCAAGTATGTGGATCTCGAAGGCTTCCCTGATCAGAACAAAAATACTCAACTATAATATGATGGTGCTGTATTCATATCTCCAGCATATGGGTATGAAATGCCAAATCTGCCGAAATTGCGGGAACAAAGCATCAGGTAAGCGTCCCAACTCTAATAACTAACCATAACAATGGATGGAAACATCAATAAATGTAGCTTCGATTGAGTTTTTTGAGGCATAACTTCGTCAGATTTGGAAAAGTCATATATACCTGTCAAAGAAATATACCGCAGAGAGTCATGAGCGAGTGGTTTGTTCGAGTAGTGCATGACCATCCAAATATTATTGTTTATTATCTGTTTGTTTGTTTTTTTTTTTCATCCATATTATCTATTATTTTCAGTTCGCAGGGAAAATTCACATAATTCTCTTGTTCATCAGAGTACGGATGGTGCTCTATTTTTAATGAATCATTGGAATATAAGCGGAAAAGATTCGCGTCTATTTCCAATTCGGCCTCTTAGAACTTCGGTTCCGTCAGATAAGTCAATGTTTGCCAAGGATCTTTATGTTTTGGCATGTATTTAAAGAGTCGTGGCATGAGTTGCGAGACTCATTCAAAATCTCGTTAATTACTCTCGATATGGCTACATGGGGTACAGTGAATATTTTTTTATACTGCGATTATTGATCAAACAAACTCTGAAGGAATTCAAGACAACTATGTGAATTTGTATTCGTATTGGAAAAAGTTAGTGTTTTATTTCAGTTTCTGTCAGTTCATTTGCCGACATGAAGATTACAACGGGCTCTGCGCTGAAACTTCAGAAAGGAAAGTCTTCCTTTCAATATTTCGCAGCATACAGTGGTGAGTAGAAAATATGTTTTCTCTGGAGTCGTCACCCTTGTATCAACAATATAAATATTTACAAGATATATGAATTAAGTCATCGATCTCATGAGGAGAGTTCAAACCACGATTGTTTCCATCGAATTACGGTTCATTGTGATATAAAATATACACAAAAATCTAAAATTAGTATTTGATGAAACAAAATACGACAAAATGATATGATTTTTACTAAAAAAAAATAAAAATAAATTGTGGTTGATATATCTTTGACAGATGTTAAAGGAACATCAGGGCGTTTGAAGGCTACACATTGCCTACAGTACAGCATGAGCATTGAGCATGAAATGAACGTAGGAATATACAGAGCATGTCATGATGAACTGTATAATATAATCTTACCATGAATACTGATCCTGAGCGGAATACCTAACTACGACCAGGGAAGTGTTTTCCCGTCATCTTCCCTCATGTATACTATTGTAATGTGTGAACTATGGGATTTGGCCGAAACATCTCTGGGTCATAACTTCCCAACAACTTCTTCGATTTGTCTGATTTTCTTCTAGAATATTATGCAAATACTCCATAGTCGACTGATTCAGAATAGAAAAATTCGGGGATCGTTCCTGAAAAATTTTGCTAGTTTGATTTATATCAAATAGTCCATTTTGTATAATATGGTTTTGTGAACTGGATGGTAAATTTTTGTAGGTCATGAACAAACATAAAAAATAAAATATAAAAATTTATCTCACAATTTCACAAAATTTCAGAAGGAACACACATTTTGAGAAGAAACGATCGAACATTTGTTCATTTGAAAACTGATACTTCGCTACGCATGAATATCATGAATGGAAGTAGGACTCACATTTTCAATGCTGTAGATCGATGGAAATCAACATTTCATTCTTTCATTTCCAGCTACTAGTATTACACGAAGTCATCCCCACGATATTTCAATGTGATCAAACGGATCGAGTAATTTGGTACATGCCTTAGACATATATATGTCCCTCCTCAGACCTATCAATTATTACTTTAATCCTAAATCCTAAATTATGCTCACGTCGGAATGAGAAGATATTGAATGTAGGTTACTTAGCTGTGTGCACGTACAGAAGTACCAAAATAGTATTTCTTGTATTAAGATTCATTTTATCAAAATGAAATGAATCAAAGATGGGTTTAATTTCAATCCAAATGGAAAACCCAGAAACCCCAACTGAAACTATCATGAGGGATACAGGAAGAAATTTCACCATAAGGTGCAAATCAGTGACACTTTCAGATGAGAGAACGGAGACAACGTTGTATCTGTCCATCTTGTATTACGTACTCGACGAAAGTCACCTGACAAGGAAGAAAATAACAAAGACATGTGTCGCACGTCACAAGTCAACGAAGAAGACAATTGACATGATACACAATGACAATGACCAACCCCAGGCAACCAGATGACGTTACAGTGACGTCTTTTTTACGTCACTTGAATGATCAAGATGACGTCAGTAGTTGACGTCGCATTGACGTGATAATGACGTGAATAAGTCACAGCCCAATGACGTCATATTACTCACGTCGTATTGACGTCATTCACTCACCAAACTGTGACGTCTGACTGACGTCATAATGACGTCAAAATGACGATTAAATTTGGCGATGATTCGTGAAAAATACCTTTAACATGGTGTGATTAACACCACTAGCCTCTGATGACATTATTTAATATTGATTATGCATTATTGAGTCTGCTTGGTGGGTCCCTCCTGTGTCATGTTGATTCAATCGCCTATTCAGCAGCGCCATCCTTCAGTACGCATCTCCATCAGAATGCAATCAGTTACTCGTATTTGTATAAAAAATTATGTAGTTTGTGTCGGCGAGATGTGCATGAGCAAACAAAGAATAGTTTGATAGCAATGGAAAGGATGTTGTCGAATTTGGCTTCACTTTGTTGAATAATTTATATTGAAGCAGTCTTTGTCACCCAACAAAAATCTAAATAGTAGATTATTGAAAAATTTACTAAATGACGAAGCTCACCAAATTGGTACGTCACACCGACGTGATTTTTAGACGCCATAGATACGTCACTGCGACGTCATAAGAGTAACGGTTTCAATATAGGTATACCTAAACGATCATTTTTATATAAACATAGCTTATTGGTTTCCGAGATAATATACAGTGTGTCAAAGTTTTTTTAGTACTTTTCGGGTACATTGATAATTATAGAATGAAACTTGCATGCTGATTCGCTTTCATGAGTTATACTTCTGTTTCACATGATAACATACAGTGTCATTCATAAAGTCGGCATCATATGGGAAAAACTTTCATTAATGACCTATTTTGGGATTCGAGTTGAACGTTGAGTTTTGCTTCAAAAGAGATGCGAAACGGCCTACTCAATCGGGGTCACGTGACTTCCGCTACATGTCAAAAGTGACATTTTTTCAAATTAATCGCTGAAAGTAGGCTTATTTGTTTGAATATCGAAAAAGTTCACTTGAAAGAGTTGTTTCTATTTGAATTTTACATATGCGACTCGGATTTTATCTTTCTATTACATTTTTTGTTTGCATCAAACATAGAATTTTGAAGCGGAGATCATCATTTTCTGAAGAAAATCATATTTTTGTCGATAATTAGTAATAATTAGTAATAGAAAGTAAGTAGCATGATGAAGCTACTGGTATGAAGTAGTTTCATTGAATTTGAAAACTTTTTTATATTACAGAAATTTCGAAAATTTTTAAAAAATATCGAAATCTAAAAAATGTAATAGAGAGATAAAATCCGAGTCACATATGTAGAATTTAAATAGAAACAACTTTTCCAAGTGAACTTTCTCGATATTCGAACAAATATGCCTACTTTCAGCGATAAATTTGAAAAAATGTCACTTTTGACAAGCGAAAGTCACGTGACCCCGATTGAGTAGGCCATTTTTCATCTTGTTTGGAACAAAACTTAACGTCCAACTCGAATTTCAAAATAAGTCATTAATAAAAGTTTTTCCAATATGATGCCGACTTTATGATTGACACTGTATTAGTATCCAAGGTTCAGAAAAAGTGTGGACAAAATGGGCGTCGACAGGACGTCCCTGCAACGTCATGAAGCTGACGTCTTCTTTTACCCCTCTGAGTGACGTTCACTCGACGTCGAAACGATGACGTGATTATCACGTCATAGAAAGTACGTCATAGTGACGTCACAAATCGGTGTTTGACGTCTCTGACGAAAAATCACCAATAAGGGACGTCACAGTGACGTGATCATTCGTCATCTGGTTGCGTGGGACGTTACCAGCAGAAGAACCCATCATGTACCAACCAAACACGAGAAAATATCGAATTTTTGAGATCAAGAACAAACTAATATGGTTTTGTAAAATAACTCCTTGAATGGATATGTCGAGAACCAAGGGAGGAGAAAATATTGACTATTTATAATTATTTTGTGGAATTCAGTGCATTGAAGAATTTTAGGCTTTCTGAATCGATCTGTTTGTTGAGGGAACCTATACTCTTGACGTTCAAAGAAGCATTTATCTCATACATTTTCAACAGATTCAATAATCTTCCATATGGGCAAATATGTAAAACTCCCAAGTCTGTGTCCGTGTTAGAAATATGGTTTGAATTCAGGATATGATTTACAAAAGAACTTCTGGTATTGTTCTCACCTATACATGTGGATTTCTTGATTTTTCAATAATTTTCACATGTTCATTCACTCAAGGTCGAATTTTCCCACCACTTTGGCCGATATACTGGGCGTTACAATTTATGTCAGAACAACCTTGTCTTTATTATTCACTAAGGACTTGGAAATAGAGTCACTGATTTGAAATAGAATATTTATGTCCTTGCTTTAATAATTTTACTTTATTCGTGGAATCTATGCATTGCGAAGTATTAATCTTCGAATGGATACTTTTTTCCCAAACTGTCATCGTTTCTTGAAACTACTTCTGATAATTCAGTGAAAGTGTGAACACATTTTCAATATATTATCCTTGATGCTTCTTTGTGACCTTTGAAAATCTCCTGTCACACTTTACAAAAACCATATCCGTAATGAACTTTTTGATATAAACTTTGCTGAATTATCACGATTATGAATGACTCAGTCGATTCGAGATAAGTTTCAGAAAATGTCATGAAAGAATCAAACGAATCAAAGAAGCTGTTGGAAAGTTATTTATATTAACTCCTTATATAAAGAAGAAGAGGCAAAATTTTCTGATTGTCATTAGGTATTCCCCTCAGGGGGGCTCTATTCGTGGAAGGAGTATGTACAGTTCCTCATGACTCCCGCATATTTTTCGAAGACGTTTGATCAGCATCAGTTACCTACTATGGACATTCCAAAAACGTACACAGTTCATGATGTTGTTTGAGTGTGCACATGACGAATTTGATTATATTTAATATGTTCATCTGTTCAATTCTTTGCAAAAATTTTAGTGAATTCTGAAGAAACAACTGAAGGTACGCCTTCTAGGGTCCCCTGATGTAAATTGACGAATTTGTCATCATTGCTCCTTTCCCTTTCGATGATCTGATGACTTTGGTTTGGTGTATTGGCGTCCCTGACTTGACATTGCTGTTACATCACATTCATAGAGGCGTTAAGAGAAATTTTACAAAATTTCAATCAGTACTCAATATTAAGAAGACATTATACAATTATTCTATTTTAGAAGGGTGGTGAAATGTGCTGCGTTAAGCTGTATCCATCAGTTGAATGGCAACGCGTCGGGAGACAACACAACCTGGAGCTAGAATCTACTACTTTTTTCCCTTGTATAATAAATAACTATCGATGCAATCATTCGTTATTTAAAATCATCAACTCTATATATTTTTCAACATTTGAATTCGACGACTTCAAACAACGCCACTTTTGAAGACATCATGAACGAAATTCTGGATATCGCATAATAAGTAGGACCAAATATTTCGACGCTGCCAGATTTGTAATGATAGTAATTACCTTATGAG